ATTACCATGAAAATCCAATGGAATCACATCTAAGCAAAAGATGATCAATCTTATCATTTCATCATCTCAAATTAATCACAATAATTTGATTAGATTAATGATTATTTACAAAACTTTTGCTCATATTAATATGATAATAATTTAAATCGTAACTTATATTATTGTATTAATACATTCAATGTACAATTGATTAACTTGCTCTCTCTCACTCAGTTTAATCTGAATGGATATGAGTTTTTGTTTTTGTTCTGGATAAAAAGTGATTCATTTTTATCATGAACTTCATCTGATTATCATTTGTGTAGTTCATTTTAATTGCAAATTAGATTCAATGGGTATTAATTCATTAATCCTGAACTATTTGATTCAACGATTCAGAATTTTTTTTTGGTTATCAAAATGATTTACATTTTTTTGTGCCTTTGATTGTTATACTTATTGCTAATTGCGCTTTGAGACATGAATGTGATGATTGTAATTGTTAATTGGTGTGTAAATATTACAATTTGTTGACATGAATGCTGATGAATCGTTTTCAATTCTGCCAAAAAGATGTCGCTCTTTTTTTCACTGATAATGTGTCTGCAAGTGGATCAGATAATGATGATAGTAACAATAATAATGGAAGTTGGAATTCGGGTTCTAAGTGAATGAGGCATAAATATGATAGGGATGAAGATGATGAGAAAGAGATAAGATGATAAAAAGAAAGAGGATGAAGATGGAAATAAAATGGAAAAGAGAGAAAGAGAAAGAGAGAGAAAAAATATTCTATTGAGTTTCAACAAAGGCAAAAGGTTTTCAGAAAAGAGTGACAACAAACACTGAGAATGAGAGGTAGAAATGGAAGATGAAGAAGATGAAAATGATCACCACTACAGAGAGAAAAAGGGAGTATGGAGGTGAAGTGAGTATGTCAGAGAGAGAGAGAGAGAGAGAGAGAGAAGAATGGAAAATGAAAGAAGATGAGATGAGATGGTTCTGGACAGAAGAAGAAAAAAGATTGAAGATGATAACAATATCAGAGAGATATCTTTTTCCATGAAAATGATATAAGGATGAAGAAAAGAGGAGCATGATGATGATTCTTATTTTCTCATGATGGTGATGATGAAGATGATTGGAAAAAGCCGGTTCTCCTTTGTACTTGGACCACTTGAAGGGCTGAAAATTCTGATTTTATGGTGATGATGCTCAGAAGTCTCTCATGTTTCATGGAGAATGTGAAATAAAAATGTTTATATATTTGGTGTATGTACTTGTCTCTTATCTTTCTCTTCCATTCTCTCTTCTCATCATTATCATCTTCTTTTGCCTCTTATCTTCTCTCTTTCTTTTTCTTGTTACCCTCAGTGAGAGTCTCTCATCTTCAATATCTCATTCACTCTCTCATTCTCATTGTGACTCTGCTTTTTTTTCTCACATGGATTTTTTTTCCACCATTTCTCTTTTCCTTACAACCAATACGATGAACATCATGATACTGAATTTTGGTAACATTTAAACAGAAAACCTTCTGGTTCATTCAATCCCTGAATCTCATATAAAAATCTCTTTCTCAATAATTTACATGGTATTTTCATGGTGGAATGGCTGTTAAATTCAGTTGAATAACTAATTGAACATTTTATTGAACATCATGAAAGCTGAAATTGAGACTTTTAACCTTAATGAAATCATTTGGGTATTTACAACCTGATTCTCATGTTTTTATTTCTCATGGTGATGAGCTGAATAGAAAACAAATCATGTTACCAAGAATATTTGTTTCTTAATGTTAGCCAATGGTCATTCAAGTGAAAGATAGTGATACACCTTCAGGCTAAATTCAGATCTTCACCTCAGTATGGATGAGCTAATTTACCTTTATCATTTAATATTCATATATCATATCACATTTATACTTTGTCTTAAACATAATCAAACCAGCTGATGTTTTCTAGGTCATCTGAATCATGTTTGGTTACATGAAAATAGTGAGAAAAAAAAATTCAGGTTATTGAGGAAAAAAGCAAATAGCTGATTGATGATATTCATGAAAAATTTCAAATGGATCATTATTTTCATGGTGATTATCATGGGCATGGTGTATAAGCGTTGATCATGGTGATGACTTTTCAATTATTAGAAAGGGAAGTAAAGGAAACAATCAATTTCATGGCAAGTAACATGAAGATACAATAATAGAGGATGAGAAAGAAAGACTCGAAAGATGACAAAAAAAGGGGATGAGGAAAATGTTCCATGAAGAGACAAGAAAGAAGATGATAAAATAAGATGAAGGTAAAATTCTGTGTGATGAAATATTTTGCTCGAATTGAGATGAAAGGATTCAACCAGAATTTCATCTTGATACATTTTACTTGAAGGTTCATCTTTTTTTTCACGTTGCAAAACTAACAAGAAGATGATTCTTTCCTCGAGCATCATGTAGTAACATCATCAGATGATGATAATCATCAATGAAGAAAAGGAGACAGAGAAGAAGAAGAAGATGATGATGATGATGATGAAAAGAAAGAGATGAAACTGATACTCCCCTCGAATACATTGGCAATATTATTTCCGTTCGATACAATATCCATGATCTAGAAATTGTTCCATGGTGAAGTTCCCCTGATCATCTCATAGTTCTTGATCATCTTCATCTTTTCTTCAACATTTTTCATACATATTCTCATTCTTCTCACAATATATCAGGGAATAGAATAGATCTCGATAACTGTTGGGAGTTTCAACTCCCACCGCTTATCATTTCCTTTGCTTCTTCCACCTTCACCTCTCATGAGGCTTGAATATTATTCTTCAATATCCTGCATCCCTCTCATCCTTTTCTGTCTCCACCATGAACGATAATATATAAAACCTGACATGATAACACCTTTTATTATATCATTTCAATATGACAACAACAATAACAACGACAACAACCTGATCCACAACAAACAGAAACAATAGTCAAAACCTAAAGGGAATCAATGTAAAAAAGTGATAAGAAAGAAAAGTTAACCGAGAAAAAATATTCTACTTGCAAGATCAAATTTCTGTTTGATATTTTCACTTCAAAGATTATATGTATCAATAGTATATGAAAAATTCAGAGACTGAAACATATCATGAACCTGAAACTTACAGGAAAATTTCATCATCACATGAAGTTATTGATTCTCTTGAATCAATGTCCAGTTTCAAATAGCCAACACCAGATTAATATGATTACAATTTTTCGTTCGTATTATTATTTTCATTTCACTCATTCATAGATTTCCATGAATCAATCTCATGTTTATATTTCATTAGATTGATATTTTCCCTTCTTCATTCATTACCATGAAATACTTAAGATTTTCACTGAATATTCAATGTTAATTCAACCTTTTTTTATACAATTTTTCCATTATCTTTCACCACTTTCTTCATGAACAAAAAGCAAGAGTATTCAATAAGCATTCATATCCAATAAGTAAAGTTTGATAACATTTTGGGTTCGAAATTTTCTCAACCGAAATAACAACTTTATTCAATAAACTTGAACTATTCTCAATAGTTGAGCAATGAATTTAGAGTTGCAAAAAAAGAAATGCTCAGAAAGTTTCATTGCAAACGATTCATGATGATGGAAAACAGGATATTCCAAAAAGCGTCTGAATTCAAATGTTGAATTTGCAGAAGAAGAAAAAAAATTCCCTTTCACCTAATGAACTTTTATTCCATGATATTTATAGCATTTGAAATTTTCTATTGGCTTCTATTCAATTTGAAAGAAAATCAATAGTTTTATGTGTCAATTGATTTTGTTTCTAATTATCGTTGATGATTTTGTGAAATTTCATCATGAAAACTTGGATTCTGGTGATGATTTTACTTCTTCCTTTGACAATTATCGTTCACTGAAAATCATGGGAATAAGTTAAGTGGTGGGTGAAATTAAATGATACGATGAAAGTAACAACCTGTATATATAAATACAACAGCAGCTTGAAATTATTACTATTCTTTATGATCATAATTCTGAATCCTCATGAAGTTTCAACAGAATCACAATCATCATCATGCTTATCATCTCATTTTATTTTATCGGTAAAAAATTTACTTTCCATTTCATTTTTCCCTGCTCTTTCTCTTCCTCTTGGTTTCTCATCTTCTTCATAACAATCATCACCATGATCATCTTCCTTTCAATTCTGTAAAAAAAACAGAGTCTAAGGTTAATTGAAATTCATGGAGGTAAGCAATTTTTACTCAACCAACAACAACGACGACAACAACATCAATATCATCGTCATCATCATTATTAGAAAAGAAGATAGAAAATGTTATTCCAACAATAATCTCTATCACTTTCATCTTCATCTTCTTCTTCTTCCTCTTGTCTCATCATCTTCTAACGGTAAAAAGCTGATGAAGGAAGAGAAGTAAAGAAAAATCAACAGGGAAGATGAAAATACTCATGAAAATATGTGAAATATTTTCCATCATCACAATTTATTACACCAAATTATCATCACAATTCATTTTCATTCAGTAAAATATATTCATAGACATTATAAAGTTAAAGGGTATTGTAAGTTTCCTCAATTGTGGAGAAGTGAAATATTGAGGACAATTTGATAAGCATGATGGTTATTAGTATATTATCAGAATCTTATAATTAGTTGTTAATTTTGTTGATGCTAAATTAGTTTAAGCTCAATGGAGTTGTTTGAGTTTCTGTTAATAATACACTTTGGATGGATAAAGTTATCTGGTGTTGTTGTTTGGGGATAAATTAATTTGAGCAATACAAAGACGAATTGAAATGTAATTGATGATGGTAATCAAGATAAATTGAATGACTATTAGTGTATCATCATCATGATTAGATGCTTAAGTCATAAGTAAATATGGGATATCGTATATATATAAGATGATAAGAGAAAAGATTTTCTTTACAGTTTCTGTTGATGATGTTGGTCAGTTTGGTGTAGGGTCAGTTTAAGTGTTGAGGTGTATTGACTTACAGAAATTTTCCCTCCTTGTGGCCACTCTCTTCAAGTGATTTTTCCGCCTCCATTCTGGTTAGTTTACCATGGAACCATGGTTGGATCTCATGGAGGGTTTTATTGATTAGTGATTTGGTCACTTCGGTTAGGATACAACGGTTATAATCATCATTACCAAGTGAAAGATATTCAATGGGAAAGGTGACCAATGCCTCGGTGAAACCCCATTCATGAGATTTCTTGATGATTGATGAACGTATCTCACTAACCGTTAATCCCCAATAAGTTGGTGGTAATTGCCACCCGGTTGACCGTTCACAGGGAAGAGAGGGTTTAATGGCAAGCCCTTCAACACCTTCTAAAAGATGCTCAATGGAGGAAAACTTTTGAGCCTCAAGCCCATGTAACATAACCTCACCATTACCAAGGTACGATATCCGATAATGTAAAATGCTAAGATAATCAATAGAAAATGAAAACAACAACAATTAATGAACGAGAAAAACAAATTTCAAGTTAAAGTTTTCCCTTGATCCTCTTGTGACAATAACATGTAACATTTGATTCATGCTTATTTAGTATGTGAATTTACATACACATAGAGAGAGAGAGAGAGACATTTATCATCATCCATTTGAACCTTATTATCTTGATAATGTAAATCATCATCATCATCATCGTTAACAATACATGATAATGTCTCTATCCAGTAAATATAACAAACCTGAAGGGAACTGAACCTGAGTCAAGGTAAACAATAGGTGTAATGTGATGGGTATTGTTAGTTTATATTATTAATAACAATTGTATTATTATCATTATCATGATAATAACCATGATGATGATTATTATTATTGTTACTATTATTATTATATATAAGGTAGAGTAAGAAAATGAAAACATTGAGTATTGAATATTTATCAGAATCAGGGAGTTGATATAATGGATAATAATAATAATAAATGATATGTATTAATATAAAAAAAAAGTTGAGCTAAATAATTTATTCTGATTGGTAACAACACTTTGTCAAAATAATTACAATTATAATCATCATCATGCTGACAATTAATCATCATCGTCATACTGATAATGTATCATTGTCATCACACACAAAATTAACAACGTAACAAATTAAAAGCGTTACTTTTTTTTTGGTTCAAACTTTAAACAAAAAATGAAAGTTTTTACCAAAAAATTATATTAATATATTCATAAGCTAATCAATTTTAAACAATTTGCTTAGACTAAATCAAATCAAATTAACTACAATATATATATTGTATTGTACTTGAAGTAACCTAATAATAGTAAACTGATTACGTTTTGTGTATTCACAAATTGACTGATGGTTAATGTTGTTAATTGTAATAATATTACATTATAATGATAACCCAATTTAACATTTCATCTGCAGTCAATCAACCTCCATCACCTCCACTCATCCACCCACAATGATGATACATGATGATGATTATATGAATATCGTATTAACCAGATTAACCCGAATTTAAATCTCAATGGATTTTCATAAAGAGAGAGAGAGAGAGAGAGAAACAAAAAGTCAAATAGCTTAGCCGATAAAATGATGATGATGATGATGAAGTTTAGGATTTTGTATTGATTAAAGATTATAATGGATGAGAAATGATTTGTAATGGATGATGATTAGAGGGAGGGGGCAATCAGATGATATGAACAATACCTTTTCTGGTAGCATAATGAAAGCACATAATCTGAATTGGATTTCCTAATGAGAAACATTGAATCAATGCAACCTTTATCCCAGAGTATGTACTCAGCTGTTTCCCTGGAAATACAACCGTAATAGTAATCACATGTTTCCTCATCTAAAATATCAATACAATTTGTTGTCATGTTGATTATTTAATTGGTTGAAAAGGAAAAGCGAACAAAAGAAAATCAATCAAATCAATTAATCAACTTGATTCACACAAGACAAACTAAACAATAACAACAACAATTCAATCAATCACAGTAAACAAAATACACTCATGTAGTTGTTGTTGTTGTCAGTGTTGTTGTTGGTGTTGATGATGATTCTGTTGTTGGTTATAAACAAATCTTATAAATCCAATTGTTATTTAGATGATTACAATTTAGCAACGTTGTGTAAACTAGTTGAATGGTTTCACGATTTTGATTTTTTTTTAAAGACGGATTATTAATCAGTCAATGATGGATTGATGGTTAACAATTAATTTTAAATTGTTTCGTTTCTTGTTGATGAAATTGAGGTTGACTCTTTGTAGATTAACATTACTATTAGTTTATATTGTTTGGGTTGGTGTTGTTGATGTTGTTGTAGGTCCTTGATCAAACATAATGCAACTAAGGCAAGATTCAACTCCAAGAATCAGCTTCACTCCCAGTTGCTCCTGCATCTCATGTCTCCCTCTCCCTTTATTTTCATCCTCATCCCTCATCTTCATCATCATCTTCTTCATCATCTTCATCTTCATCCCTTTGCGCAGTTTATTCAATCAACGTTATCGTTGCGCATTCCCAATGAACAACTAATATAAATATTCAAATAATCATCATTATGATTGAACAAAATGAAGATGAAACTTTAACTAATAGTTATCATTATCCTAATAGGGAACATTTAATTAATCGCTAATTGTAATTAATGTTCAAATAATTGAACGACAATTAATTCAATTAACTTTTCCTTCAGTTTGGTTTTTGTTTTGAAAGTTTTTTTTCTTGAACCAGAAAAACAAATCAAATTGTAATTAGTTAATTTTATTTCAATTTAACGATATTATTATTAATTATTCACATTATGAAATAAACTCAATGTTAATTTTATGAGCAAATTAATCAGATAGTTGATTGGATACAATTTAAATTAAATAATCAAATGATACAAATTGTATTTGGGTTTATATGTTTAGAGCGGTTGAATTTGAAAAACAAAGTTTTTTTTCAGCTTCGATTAAGTTTAATCACATTTTACAATTTAGTTAATCATTAATTTGTTTAAACACTCATTATAAGTATGTAGTTGATTTGGTAAATACAAGCATAGTTAAGTAATTATATTTTTTTTTTCAAAGTAATTAGTTATTATCTGAAAGGCTTGGAAAATTAAATTGCTCGTTGGCGTTGAAGGGGAAAAAAGTATAATGATTGATGGTGATTAAAGTTGATTACAATTTGCCGATTGATCAGTTAATTGTTTTCTTGTTTTCCAATTCTTGGTGTGTACAATTATCCCGGACACTCGGACATCGTTTTCAGTTAATTTACATATTAATTGTTGTATAAAAAAAAGAGTAGATTGATTTTTTACTGAGCTTGAACGCATCATCTTTGTCTAAATCACACAATTAATTACAGTTGATTAGTTGGCCAGGGTTGGGAGTTGAACAATTGAACATGATCAATTTAACAATTTAGCGTAATTAAAAATGAGTTGAATATCTGCTAATTTGAGAATTGATTTGATAATTATAACATGAGAGGGAAGGATTGGAAAAAAATTTCCATTAGATGAAATTAGATATTAATTGTTGACCAGGATTTAGGATTCAATTAAATTTACAAGTTTCTCTAATTGTTGACAAGCAAACAATTGACAATTAAGATGATAAGTATTCATTTCAATTCTTATTTTAGGTTATCATTTTGTGCGTGTTTCTTTCAATCAAGAGGATTTAATATCAATTAGTTTTCTTTTTTAGTTTCCTTTCCACCGGGGAAATTGATTCTAAGTGTTCCTTAGATTAGTTGATTAGAGAGATTCAATAAGTGATTAAGAAAATACGAAATTTCTTAATTCTGCATCTTTTTGAATTAAATTCTAAATTTAAATGCATAATTATCGAAGATCAAACTATGATTCAAGTTGATTTGGCATTGGAATAGGAAGATTCAATTATTTATCGTTCAGATGAATGATGATGGAGAGTGAGTTCCATGAGCAATACCTGGTGGTGTAAATGAGAAGAAAGTGAAAATTTAGTTGACAATTAGATGAGAATCAACAAATTAAAGTAGATATAATGTTCCTTACTTGAAACTTTGCGACTTCTCTCTGTTGCCTCTTTAGCTATTTCTGAATTTAAGGCCAAAAGTTCAGCTCGTCGACGTTTTTCTTGAACAAAGATCGTTTTTACATCTTGAGAAATGGCCTTTTGGGAGGATGAATCAATATTCTGAATGTCCATTGAGGAGCAAGTCTTTCGAAGCGGCTGATTATCATCAAGACAAGAATCATCATCAACATTGGAACCCGTTGATGACGATGGAAGCCCTCCGATTGTCGAGCGAAAAGATGAATTTATGGACTGACCCCGACGGTGAATCGGAGTGTAGGAAGTATATGCAGCGTCTGAAAGCATTTTACGAAATGATTCCGCTTTCATGGTTCGTTTGGTTAGTTCGTCCAAGGTGTTTTCTTCATTAAGTTCAGATCCATTTTCAGTTTTGTGAACTGAATCAATCTAATATTTTGGAAGAAAAATAATTAATTCGAAACCCTTCAATGTGGACTCTTTCATAGTCTCTCTTACTTCATTAATGGTCCTTTCTTCATTAAATGGTTCAGGTGATTTACTTTTTGTACTTTTAACTAGATCAGGAGTACCAGTTACATGTCGAGTGTTAATTGTTGTTGATTGAGTTGTTGTTTTGTATGACTGAGGTGAGGCGATTAAAGGTTGATTGTTGTACATCATTTTAGCGCTTGTTGGTTTATCAATAAAATCATCTTCATCGATCGAGCGCCATGTTGTTGATAGAGCCTGTAAAATGTGAAATTAGCGAATCACTAATTGTTGTTAATTGTGGACAAGAATTGAACGCCGATTGTAAATTAAATGATTCATACCGAAGGTGAGCAAGTTGGTGATGAATTTGAAGAAAGATGAAGTTGACTAACATTTGATAGATAACCTGAAGTTGAGGTTGTCGGTCTAATTATAAGGTCACCATTGTTTATCTTGTCGAGGTCAAGGTCATCTTTACCGGAAAATGTACACGAAGAGGAACCAACCATGACCAGAGCGGGTAAATCATTAGCGGAATTGGATAAAGATGATCTCATGGATTGTGGACTTGAATCAATCTATATGCATATAAATATATAATTAAAAAATTAATTAGTTGGTTAAATTAATAATTGTGATGGGAAACAGGATAATGATTGATGGTATAAATCAAATTCAAACAAAAGACAATCAAGACTCACAAGGAGAGAAGAGTTAATTTTTCTTAATTCTTATCACAATTAACACTTAGTAATTGTATTAACACACATTGAGAATACAATTAACAGCAGCAAATAGTTGATTTGATAAATGATGAGTGTGTATGTCATTTAATTGTTGGTTGATTGTTCTTGGTGTTTGTGAATGAGTGTCAGAGGTGTGAGTGTATGTGTGTGTATATGTGTCTAAGTTGATTAATTGGATCAATAATAAAACTCAAGATAATCATAAAAATAATAATAATTTAACATAATCAAGGTGATTTTCAAATGATAATCTAATTGTGATGGTTCATTTGGCTGGAGGTAATTGTGATTGACAAGCAACACCAACAACAACAAACACAAACACAAATTGACAAAATGAATAAACAAATAAATTGATTTTGTAACAATTTGCATTTGATTGTACAAAAAGAAGCAAAAAAACAAAATTAATTGATTATCGGGTTTCATTCAGATGCAAATCAAAATAAACAAAATAATACAAAAAATTTACATGAGAATTGACAATTGGAAACAGAAAAGTTTTTTTTTCAATCAATCGGTCATTTGGTCAGTTCTTCTTGATCATCTCCTCATATGGACAACAAAAGATTTATAAATTGAATTTCTTAATCAACACAATTAATATATTGAGATTGAATTAATTGTTGGTTTAAATGATTGAAGAAACAAAAAATTAATACTCAAGAGGAACAGGTAACATAAACATAGACACAAATTAGATTTGATTTTGTTTTGATTATTCATTTAATCATCTGACCTCTTTTCTTTCATCTGATTTGATTGTTGTAGTTTTCATAGATGATGATGGTGTTGTTGATGCTACTGTTGTTGATGATGATGATGATTCAATTAAATTAAGAGTTGATGGCCTTTTACCGGTTACCGTATCATAGGTAAATTGATTATCACAATTACCTCCACCAATAGATTCAATTGTTGTTGAACCATCTGAATGATTAACCGTATAAACCGGAAAATCGGACAGATCATTTTCTTGAGGAAAATGCTGAAAATATTGAGTATTATTTAGATTATTATTGTTATAGTTAATTGTTGACGAAGTGGCTGTGTAAGTAGTTAATTTATTGGTAACACGACGTCTTTCCGATTCTCGTTTAACCAAACGAACGGTTTTATTTGAGGCCAATAAAGGCTGTTGGAAAGTATATTGTTGACCATCACTTGATTCACCATAATCACCATAATTATTATCATTATTATAACAACTCATCATTTGGGAAGCATTTGATTCTTGTACAAATCCTCTGTCACCTCTTGATGTTATGGTGCTTGTTGTAGTTGCTGTTGTTGATGTTGTTGTCGAAATTGTCTCACTGGTTGAATCATCAGATCTACCTTGATTATCATCTAAATATTCATCAATTGAGCGACCACCATTAATTTTATTACTTGAAACTGATCGACTGGTATTATTTTTATAACTATAATTGACTAAATTGGAATCTAAATTTTCGTAAACATTATTAGATCCAGATGATGATGCAGTTGCCAGTTCCTCTTCCGGTGAAATTTGTTGATAACCTTTCAGGTAATTAAAAGGGGTCATATCTCGAGACTCCATACTATCCATATCTGTTTCACCATAGCCAGAACTGGTTGAAGTATTGGTTTTACCAGCTGATTGATTGTTATTTAGTACCGATATTGATTGTTGCTGCTGTGGATGACCTGAAGTAGGTGATGTAGTTGTTGATGCTGTTGTTGCTGTCGTTGAATCAGATTTGGTTTTTTTAAAATTTTCCAAAATTTCTTTACGTTTAGCATGTAAACTATCAATCGCTGAATCAATGTTAGCTAATTCTGCCTCCAGGCTAACTGGACCAGGTCGATTTGAGCTTTTACTGGAACTTGAGGATGAACTATTGGTGGCTGTTGCTGTGGTTGGTGTTGATGTTGCGGATAACATTTGCTCGAGTTGTGAACGAGCCAAAATTACATCTGAATCATTCCATGGATCTTCAATTGATCTTTGCTCTAATCGTTTTGCTGATTGTACGATGAGACCTCGAACACGACCAAGCTCACCTTCCAACATTTGCTGTTGTTGTTTCATTTTGTCAACATTGGAAGATGCTGATCGAGGATCATCACCATCGCTACCATCATTTAAACTTAAATCGGTTAATGATGATCTAACACCTTCTAGAGTTTTCTCTAAAATATCTTTGTCTTGTTTCAGGTAATGAATTAGTTTCTCTTGTTCAGTAACTTGATCCTCTGATTCTACCTCATCTTCTGTCGTCTCTTTTTTCTTTGGAGGTGACAAATAGTTGGTGAATTTTAGTTGTTCACCTCGTTGTGGGACCATGGGTGGAGGATGAGACACTGAAGGTTGAGCAACTGTCGTTGAAGATGAAGCTGAAACTCCAGCAGCACCTTGAGATTCAGGGAAACGGTCAAGGAACGAAGTAGAAACGGCTTTTCCTCTCTTGAAGTCAGAATCGTTATCATTATCGGTTGGTGAAGAATCGAGCTGTTGATTATAATGATAATCTCGATTAAATTGATTATTTTGGCTTTGAGGAAGGTGAGACTTGGAATATTGTTGTTGTTGTTGTTGTCGATTTCGAGAGACTGAAGTTCCAGGACCAGGATGATTAAGTTTAACCATATTGTCCACCATATCTATGACAGGGAATTGACTCTCATATTGTCTCTCTGCTTCCAATAGACTCTCTCTTAGCTCTTTGTAGCGACTTTTATGTTCCTCTCGTCGTTGTGGTTCAATTTCCATCATTTTCTCCTCAGATTCCATTTGTAATCTTAATGAATCACAAGTAGATGCAAGGTGAGATTGATTTCGTCGAAGTTGAATCAAAAGAAGAACCAATTCCTCATGAGTTTTACCCAATAGTTCACCCGCTGAAGAGAAAATCTTTGAATTATAAATGTCTTGCTCATTTTGTAATCCAGTTCCAACTGAGCGAGACAATTTCCTCTGTAATTTACTTGAATGGTTGTTGTTTTCAGTTACACAATAATAGGGATAACCATGTTGATTATAACCCAATGGGAGAGGTGGGGGTGGTGGAGGTTTAGATGTTGTCTCAGAGTCGGAAACATTTTTCAAATCATCTTGAGATCGTCGATTCCTTGGTGAGCGTCTCTTTTTCAATTTCTTATCCAAATAGGAACCAGATTGTGAGCCTAATGTGACAAAGAGAAAAGAACAACAAAATTAATCGAAAATAAAAACAGAAAATCCATTAAATTTGTCAATAAAAATAGAAAAACGTTTATCATATAAAGATAATCATTTCGAAACAGTTCAATTTGAATAAATGTCTTTTATTCATTTGTAGCTCTGATCATTTAATACCTTCTCCTTCAATCAATGATCTCTCTGACTCTGATTCAGTTTCCATCATTACTGATGATGATGATGGTGGTGTTGTTGTTGTTGTCGTTGTTGATGTTGGTTCTTTTTTCATCTTCTCTTCTCCAATTTGATCATGTTCATCTCGATGATCCAAAGTATCATCAAATTTAACTACTTTACGGATTTGTGAATAAGTTACGTTACTTTTTCTACTATTATTAACATTATCCGTCATGAGGATATTTTTCTGTTTCACTGGAAGTTTAGGTAATATTTCATCACTATTCGGATGATTAATCATCATTTCTCCATCAATTTTAGTAGACTCATGAGGATTTGTTGATCTGATAAATTCTAGATTCTCATATAAATGATCATCGTCCAAATTTTCAAGGGATTTTGACTTTCTCTTTTCAGATCGTAAACTGTCAGTATAACGTAAGCTTGATCGAAGTTGATTGTCACGGACAAATGATGGTGGTTTTTCATTTGCTTCCATAATAACTTCAGGGGTTACACATCGCTTTTTACCCGATGCACCAATGGAAATCGATTGTTCATCTTCACCAATTACTCCACCTCCCTTTCGGGCTGCACCATAATTATGATTATTAACTCGCTGTAACCGTGATGATAATTTCTCCCTCTCCCGATAATTGATAGGTAATTCTAGACCATCACTATTATTAGGTAATAGATCTGAATAATAATATGGAGCAATTTTTGGAGCTTCGGGAAGGTTGGCAATGTCTTCTAATGATCCTGATTTTACTTCATTTGTATCCAAACATTTTTGCTCCTGGGGCTCAGTTTTTTCATCGCATGAACCTGAATTTGTATCATTTTCATCTTGTTGTTGTTTCTCATCAGTTTCTTTTATGGCAAATTCAAGGTATGAGGAACTAACATATGCAGGATTATCCATAGAAGTAGAATAAGATGAACTAGAATCCATTACAAGTTCTGGCACTGATTTAAAGGTAACTGTTGATGAAGAAGATGATAATGGGTCACCTTTAGTTAACTGCGAAAGGGATGATGTTGGCACGCAATCAGTTAAATTCTGTAAATTATGTCCTCCTCTTCTTGAGACATTAACAGACCCTGTTGTCACCATTGTTGATAATATTTGTTTCTGTTGTTGTTTGGCACTTATTGGAATATTATTTGCATTATATTGACTTGAATCAAATTCTCGACTCAACTCATCATCAGCATCTTCTCCTTTATCATCATATCCTGTAAAAGGTACAGATGATTGATCAATTGATGAAGAACCACCACCAACTGTTTGCTTATGATTATTGGCAAGAATTGATGATTTCGAGCAAACTGGTTGATTGGAACCTGAGCTTCCATCAGCTTCCCCACGGTCACTCAAGGGTGTTGTTTCACCCTCTTTATGATTACCACTTGCACTTGATTCTAATGAAGTTAATTGTCTCTCTCCTCGATTTGATTCAGCGGTTTTCCTTAAATCAGCAAGAACCGAGAATGTTGTTGCTGATGATGATGTTGATTGTGATATCGTTGCTAATTTATCAGCACTCTCTTGATAACCTAATGCAACATCAGGCTCACTATAAATTTCACGAAATATTTTACTCTGATTACGAAGGTTAACATTTTGCTGTTTTCCCTCCACTTTTAACGATGTAGATGATGATAATGATGATAAAGCAGATGAACATGATGATTGTTGTGCAACATTTAATGGATCACTTTCATTATTATTAACCTTTGATTCCAATAATGCGATTCTCTCTTTAACAAAATTAGCTGGAGGTGCAATAGTTTCTTCAGGTTTAACAGGTTCAACAAAATGCTTACCCTTGTTATCAACAACATTTTGAATGATGTTTGATGCATTAACAACCACATTGTTTTCAGCGTCAACAATAATATTACCATGTTTGGAGGTATTTGAAGTTTTATCTTCTAAAACTCGAGTGGGATAATCCCTTGGTTCAATAGTATCAACATAAGGTGCGGTGCTTGGTATATGAGTTTTTGTAGGTAAAATTGTTGTATTTTTAGACTGAGGCTTTGGCGGTGGTGGTGGTGGAGCCATTTTGTTGGATATACTTGTGTTTGGGTTATTTGATTGATTGACTATGGTACCGGAAACATTGAGTCCACTGGGTCCGCAACTTGCTGGTCTACATGGGTGTAATGAACTTGTTGATGGTACCAATTTGGTTCCATGGGCAAGATACCGGGACATTTGATTAGGATCAACTACAGGGTCAACCCATTGTTCAGGATAACCTGAATATCCTGACATTGGATTGTTGTTGTTGTTGTTGACATTACCCATGTTGGATACACCAATATTGTTGGGGATGACTGATGTTACTGGTATACCCATTGGGATTGATGTTACTGTATTATAAGTGGCAAATTGTTGACAATTTGTGGACAATTGTTGTGTGTAACATGATGATACTAGGGATGGATCAATTAAAACATTACCTGTGCTCATAGATTGATTTGCAACTACTGGTATTGGCACACCGGTTGTCATCATAGCCATCATCATGGATGATGATGATGATGATGACTGTGGATGATGATGATGAGAAGGTAAATGAGTTGACATTGTTAGGTCAGGTTGTCGTAACGTGGATGGTGCTTTGTAATAGTCTTCACGCTTAACGAAATTATCTAAATTAGATTGAGATTCTTGACCATCACCTACACTACGAGGTAAGGATGTGACACCGGGTTGTAATACAGAGGATGATGAGCCCATTGAGGTAGTTGCATCACCGTCAATCGTTGTATTGGCCATAACAGCGGTGGCAGTGGTGACAATATTATAATTTGGATTCATCATGTGATTAGTTTCAATTAAATTACAATCAACTACTGATGGTGATCCTATTGGTCCCAAGTAAGATGGATTAGATGTAATCATCTTGGCTGGAATTGAATACAATTGATTAATATTCATATAATCAGGTGAGGCACAGGTTCGATCAACTGGTAATTCAGTTGTACCAACAACCATTGCCGAAGTTAATTGTGACTCTTTTGATTGTTGATTAGTATTATTCTCGTTAGATGTACTTGATGTATTAAGTGGATTTCCACAGCTTTCATGTCGACGTCTAACCCGATTAACAGTAGTGGTAGTAGATTCCTGGAGAGTTGCATCATTTGATCCTGATTTAATTGCTGATTGTCAAATTTTAATCATTATAAAAATTGATTAGATATATTTAATTGAAATAATAAACATGTTGATGGTTTTTTTTTGTTAGACTCAAGTTAAAATGATGTTAGTCCAAAGTGTTTTTGTTTTCTTGATTTGGTCAAGATGAGATGGATTAGTTTTGTTGGATTACAATTGAATTGGTTAATTTGAAGTTTAATTGTGTTAGCAGAAAATAAATTATCATCATGTAGTAGTAATGAGTGAAAGATTATGTTGAATTGTGTTAATTTTGTTATATAAATGATTAATTTCATGATGGATACTTTTTGTAATATTGTTATGTTACAACAGGGCAGTAAATGGTCAGAGAGATTGTTGATTGTTAGAGTTGTTATTTTTGTATTAGTTTGATCATTAATAAATTATCTTTAATTGTGATTTAGTTAAGGGATAAGAAAGAGTGGGAATTGAGGAAAGTTGATTGGTAACCCTTTTTATCCGATTCTTTTTCCAATGATATATAATCATGATAATAGATATCATTAAATTACTAAACTAAATAAATGATTAAATAGATTACATATAAACTCACAATCATTATCTTCTTAATCATCATGGTGATCGAAGTGGGTAAAAGGTTAGTGTTTTTACAAGAACAAAATCATCAAAATGATAATCTGATAATCTCTATCAATCTATGATAAATTTGCTTCTACCAAATGGGAATACAGATTTTGTATTAACAGTTATTATTAAAGATGGGAAATAATTTCAACGATTACAAGTTCAGAATTAAAGAGATGGGTTTTCATGGTGATGAGAAGATGAAAATTAAGATGATGAAAATGATAGAAAGAGAGAACCGATTGAGGTCAATTGATCCTGGGTTTATAACTAATTTCCATTATCCTGTTTTCAAAGTTCTAACAAGAATCATCAGAAGAGAGAGAGAATTGTAGATAGAAAAATGATGAGAAAAAGAGGGAGAGAGGTTTACCTCCTATTCTCATTATTTCATGTTGATTAAACTTCAGAAATTCAGAAGTTGATAGAATTAAAGTTATAAGCACGCATGAGACAAATAACCACGCAGCTTCATACTCTCAACATGATGTTTCATGAGAGATCAGTCAAAGATTCTGGATAAATGTATCTAAAAATGAACGAGATTATCCAATTGAGCTTAGTGAGTTATTTTTCTCTCTCTCACTCAATCGTCTTCTCTCTTAATTTTATTATCTTTTGAATTTTATTATTTTATCATAATCTATAATCTTTTCCGATCTTCACAATTGCTTGATTTTCTCAGAGGAACTATCGTTCCATATAAGAATTGGGAATTCACGTAAGTCACTTATCTCTTTCTCTCTCTCTCCCAGGGCAAAGTAAATCAAATACAATATCTGATTATAATCATTTACTATTATAATGATACGAAAAGGTAATTGGCAAGACAAAAAGAAGACACTAGAAGACAAAGAATGAGAAAATTTCACTTATCTCTCTCTCTCTTCATCCGATCTCTGAATTTCAAGGATCTTAAAGAGATTTGTTTTCTTTGTCTTTTTCTTCATCTCTTGAGTTTCTATCTAATCATTTTCTCATCTTTCTCTTTCTTTATGGTTTTTTGTTGTTTTATTTATTTTCTACTTTGATTCATCATCTTTCTTTTTTTCAAGATCATCATCATCATGATATTTACTCTTAAAAAATCATTATTATCATCATTTCTTTTCAACCTGAGTTACAGGTTGAACCGGAATGTCCGGCAAGTCCTTTTCTTCCTGTTACATCTTTTAATAATTTTTCTTCTTTCTTTTTCTCTTTCCTTAATTTCATCCTCATCCTCATCTTCATCTTCATCATCGTCATTTTGTTTTTCTCTTATGTATTAAGATGAGAGAGATGATGAAGATTGTGTGAGATCCTTTTAGGCAAAAAATTAAGATCCTGGAGGCTATTGATCAAATCTAATCAATCTGATTCACCTTATTTCTTATATACTCTCTTTCTCAGCCTCCCATTTTCATCTTTCATTCAGAATCACTAAATACTTTGAAAATAATATCATGAACTCATCAACACAGAAAAATACCTACTCATCTTCATCCTCTCACCTTTAGTCTTGTTAAAAGTAACATAAGTTATTTTTTTGCGTAACAAAGATGATTACTGAATCAAATGAATCAAAAATAAAGATCCCTGATTAATGTAAACAATCAAGGTAATCAAAACATTGATAATAAAACTCTCACAGTCAATAAATAGTAATCATTGGAAAAGGAAAGATGGGCTTGGTGGAAAAAGGTAAAAGAAAAATAGAAAGGTGGGAAAGTGAATGATGATGAAGATGTGGAAAGGCACATAAAGTACAGTAAATGAGATAAAATGATGATGGAAATTAAATTAAAGACTAACCTTCGTCATCAGATGAATAGGTTATATCGGCCACGGGAAAAGATGAACCGATACTTTTTGAACGTTCCCTGCTGAATATTGGCTCTTCTCGAGATCTCATGTCTCCTGGTACTCCCATGAACCCACCGCCTGAGTTATGAGGATAATCGGGTAGACCCATTTTGTTTCGATACTCTTTGGGTAAAGGAGGTCGCATAGGTACATCTGAGAAGGTTAAATCAGAACCAAGGGAACTGTTCAAATGATGAGAATGTTGTAAATGATGTTGATGGTGTGATGGTGATTTAGCTGATCCAGAGATGATTCCTTTAGATCCACCGCCGGTTGAAGTGGCCATATTGGTATTTGAGGTATTATTATTTGATGAATTATTGCGTTTATTCAATGGGCCAGAGAGCATTTTTTGTTTCCATTCAAGTAACCGAAGTAAACTAACATCACGATCTTGTTGACCTCGTGGTGAAATGTCCAAATTTGAAGGTGGAAAATTAATTCCCTTGGGTCTAGAAGCATTAGCTGGTAACCCATTTGATGTTGTTGCTTGTAATGGTTGTTGTTGGGAAACGGTAGTCTGCTGACGAGCTGCTTGTTGTTGTAGGTAATCAGACCAAGGTCTAGGTGGTGGTGATGTTAATTGTTGTTGTTGTGATTGTGATTGTTGATTAACAGGGCCATTACTTGTTCCATATTCAATTTGATTGGTATAATAGTATGGATCATACCTTTCCAGACTTGATTTAGGACGAATTGGCAGTATTTTTGGTGTTTGAATTGATTGTTGATTAGTATTGTTACCATTGTTAGCATTTTGTTGAGCAGAATCAACCTGACCGGTTGCATTGTTATGATGAGCTGGTGCTGTTGTTGATTGTTGTTGTTGCTGTTGCTGTTGATAGTATTGTTGATGAGCACCATTTGATTTTGATGATGATGAATTACCATTTACATTGCCAGTTTGATAACAGTTTTCAATTTCAGTCATTTCATCTTCGTCTTGAGCTTCTCTATCAAGAAAATCAGCTGAATGAGGACGAGGAGGTAATCTTGTCCTAGAAAATTGATTTGCAGAGGATTGTTGTTGTTGTTGTTGTTGTTGTTGTTGAGCTTGTTGTGATTGAATTTGTTGCTGAATAGGGTGATGATGATGATAACCTGATAATTGATTGGTTGACACTGTAAACTGTGATGGCGGTGGAATAGAGTAATGCTGATTCAAATTTGCAGTGGGTGACATGGGTGATGTTAATTGATATTGCATGTTAAGTCCATCGGGTTGAGGATAATCCGAAGGATTAAATGGAGACCCTTGATAATAGTTGGTATTAGTGTTAGTGTTGACACCATTGTTGGCACCATTTTGATTGGAAATTATATTATTGTTACTATTATTACTGCTAATACTATTATTTGGATCGTTAGAGGTAGAAACAGGGGCAACGTTGCCACCACTGTTAGGTGAGTTATTGGAGACATTGGTATTTGCATTGTTATGAGCAATTAAATCAGGAGCTGGTCCATTACCTGGACTAAAATACTGATTAGTGTTACTAGTATTATATATTGATCCTGGTGGAATAGCTCCAAATTCATTTGTTACTGGATACAAATCACTACAATTAAGGACACCCGATTCATCTAATTGCTGCCGTCTTGGTTTGGGTGGTGCATTTGCATAATGTGACCTTTTCTGATGAGTTGCTGGTGCTGGGTAGATTAGTGATGAAGACAATTGTGGATTAGCAGCTGAATGACCAGCCAGGTATGAGGAACCATGGTAAGACATTGGTGGAAGACCAATACAATTGTAGGAACCAGGATATTTAGCTCCAGCTGGAAGGTAGCCTGAGGAATCAGTTGATGAATTGTTGAGTGAATTAGGCATCGGCGGACGACGAGGGATGTAAGAGTTAAACCCAGAGTCTTCCTCTTCTTCACCACCGCCACCAGTCATACCACCGCTAAGACACCGGGTTGGATATCCTTTACCAACATTACCAACTGATCCAGGGATCATCATTATCCTTGAATCGGTAACATCTGATCCATCAGGATGATTACAAGCCTCTGGATTACCATAGCCAACCAGATTACCTGTAATTGTGGCCGCTTGTTGGACAGAAGATAAATTTCTCCGACTAAGTGAGTTAATATTACCGGTAGAGTTACCATTTGAATCAGATGAACCATAATTAAGTTGCATAATAGAAGCCAAATTTAGAGCTGTCATCCATTGTTCCATAGATTCCTTTGAATCGGCGGCCAGAAAGTAAGTTTTCATATTTTGATGTTCCAATTTGAAGCTATACTTTCTTGTGATTCCATCTTCAGTTGAACGGCAAAGGGAAACACGATAACTGGGCAATAATATGGATCCATGACACTTTTCCTCATTCGAATCTTTATAATAAAATAGACAATAATCACCCAAAACGAACCATCGACGTTTCCATTGTTTAATTGCTCCACCTTCTAATCTATACAACCAGCCCCTTAGGGTAACCTGAAGTTGATCACAACGTTCAACTGTTGGTGGACGAAGGGCAGTGGTACTGGTTGATCCAGTTCCTGATTTCCTGCGAACCAATTGATTCCTTAAACCATCCATGGTGATTAATTGATGCGGATAATTTTGATGATTAGTTATATCCAATAAGGTTTTATTGGAAGTCCTTATATTGGAATCACTGTTTCTATTATTATTTTTACAATTATTATTTATATTATTATTATTGTTATTGTTATTTATGTTGTTTAAATTATTACGTCTGGATGGATTGACTGAATCAATATCAGAATTACGACCAGTAACCTTTAATCTTTCATAATCATTATGTGGATTAAGACCAAGTAAAGTTGAGCTATGACGATAGGTAGTTGTATCTTCATAAAGGTTGACCGTTGAATTATTATTATTATTATTATTGTTATAGCCTATCACAGATCGCCTCTGAGCATCATGTAAACAAGAATCATTACCGATAATTGTATCTTCATCATCAATTCCAGGATCATCTTGAGATCGACGATGGGATGATGACAATTGTTGTTGTTGTAACTGTTGCTGGACAAGATGATGGAGCCTTTGATGTTGTTCATGGATTTCCTGAGCTGTATATCCAATGTCACTTTCATAAAATGACCTTTGCTTTAAGCTATTGGTATCATTGGCTATTTCCAAAGGTCTATAATCCAAACAAAAAGGTTCACAATAAAACACACAAGCACAAAAATAAATCCAAAAGGCGATTCATCAGTGAGATATGATTATCGATGATGACAAGATTCAGGTTTGTATATATAAAAGAGAGGGAAAAGAAAGAAAATATTATGAGTAAGATTAAAAGCGAAAAAGATTTAAAAACAATCACAAAGTGACAACAAAATGACAGTACTAAAGTTTCACCGAGATAATAGTTATTATAATCCAAAGAAATTAATCCAAAGTGATATAAATATGAAAGATAGAGAAGAGCTTCCAATTTATATTCCACTACAAATCACTTGTGTGAACAATTAATTAATCCAAAGGTAAAAGAAGAGGTTTTTAAGGCACGAATTAGATGGTCAGAATTTGGAGAATAGAAAAATACACAGATAAACAAATAGAATAGAGAAAAAAAAACAAGATGAAGTTTTTTTGATGTTGAAGAAAGAAAAATAGTTGACGTTTTATGCAATGGAAGAGAAACAAGAAAGAGAGAGAAAGAGAAGAAAAAAGATGAAGAGAAGTGGAAGAGAGAGAGAGAGAGAGAAAAGAAGTATTTTTTTGAAGAAAACTTTTTGCGCTCAACTGTAGTTACTACAACTTTCTACATTGTAAGTGTATTGAAGTAAAAAATGTTTAGACAGAAAGAGAAGATAAAAAGAAAGAGAAAAACCAGAAGATGAAAAGAGGAGAAAAGAACTTGTTTGAGAGAGAGAGAGAGAGAGAAGAGTTTAGAAGAGACCTAAAGAAAGAGGAGTGGAAAGAGGAGTGAAAGAAAAAAGGCTGAAAAAGAAAGAGAGGGAAAGAGATAAGTTTAAGGAACTTTTAGAAATGAATGAGGATTGGAACTGAAACCTCATGAAATAACAATTAGAAGATGGAGAGAAATGTTTGTTTTCGTCATGGAGAATTTCAATCTTTTCTTACATGATGAAGATGCTCTTGGTCTAACCGGAAAAAGAAAAAGCTCAATGAAGGTGAGAGATAACAAAAGAAGAAGAAGAAAAGTAAAAAAAGAAACGTTCTTTTACTTTTAATCTGTTGTGTATTGATCAGTATTTTGGAAAATATACTGAGAGAGAGAGAGAGAGAGAGAGAGTCTATGGTTACTAGAAAATGATGAAGGCCGAAGATGATAGAGAGTAAGGTGAAGATGAAGATGGAGAAAACTTGTTTCCCATCATTTCTCTTTCTCTTCGGGATTTCATCTCTTCAAAGGTAATTCTTTTCCTCACTTTTCTCTTTCTTCGTTGCGCTTCATTTTTTTCTACAAGAGACTTTGGTAAGATGATGATCATCTAAACTCTCTCGCCTTAGGCTTTTTTTTCTTCACATTTCTACTTTAACTGCAGCTCACTCATTTTTCATCCTCGTCAAAACAGAAAGAACAAATTATTAAGAAGAGAGAGAGAGATTAGTGTTAAGTGAAATGAGTTAAAGGAGAATCAAGTGAAGAATTGATTATATGATCGCATCTCTTGATCATCCTCTTAATCTTATCCCATTCATCTTTTGTTTCAAACGAATAATATTCAAATTATTTTGGAAACAATAAACTTCGTAATGAAGATGAGATGTTATCAATTTGTTAACTGTTTTTTTTTCAAGTTTATTACTATTGTCATTGTTGTAGTAATATAGTAGAGAAGTTGTAACAACAACAAAAGCATAATAAATACGCAAGGTGAATTGGATAAAGGGAGTGATGGAGATGATTATTATCATGTTTACTTTTTTTTGTGGGTCCAGGGTCACATATATAAACATGATTTCTAATCATCACTTTTACTTTTTATTTTCTTCTTCTCTTCATCATCATCTCCTCTTCGTCTTCCTCTTTCCATGAAGAAAATAATTATGATGGTTGTTAAGATTCTTAACCTTGTTCATCTTAATTCATTATAATTAATTATTGAGGTTAGAATTTCAACAGCAACAAAGAAGAAGAGAAAATGATGGAGATAAGGAAAAAAAAGGAAATACATGTTTAATCTCATATGTATTTATTTTGGATTATTGTTGAAAAATTAAAGATGAGAGAGAGAGAGAGAGAAGGTGAACATTGAAAACACTTATTCACAAGGACAAATCACTAATTACCATGGTATCACTATTAATAATAATAATTATTATTAGAACAATTAGTTACCTCTAATCATAATCACATTAATCCAAATGTAAATCACAAAGAGGGAATGAGAGAAAAGGTAAAGTTGTTGTAGGAAAAAAAAGTAAAGTCATTCAATGAACAATAACTGTTTAGGATTATGTATTCATCATCAGGATGATAATGTTAATGATGAAGATGAAAAAAAGGATAAATGCCAAATGAGAACCATTGAGAATTGTTGTTGTTGTTGTTTTCTTGTTATTCATGAATTTCCATTGGTTAACCATAACGAAAGAACAAAACAAAAAAAAAAGAACAATAATAATCAGCCAACACCAATTATGCTAATCAAAGGTTATATAGAAAATGGAAGAACAAAATTAACTAATGGTAATGATGATGAAGATAAAGATGATATAACTGTTGTATTTATCTTTTTACATCATATTTCACCCAAACAATGAAAAAATTACATGATGATGAAGATGCGAGCGAGAGAGAAAGAGAGAAACAGTAAAAGGAGAGTAAAAAAAAGGAGGGAAATGTAATTACACAGGAGATGGAACAAGAAAAAAAAGTATATTAAGGTAAGAGTTAATTTGATGTAATTTGATTTGAACAATATGAATATAAAATTAACTGTGTGAACAGAAAGCACATCAAATAAGCTGGATAAAGATGATTAGGTGAGATTAAGAAAAGAGAAAAAAATTAAATTCTTTTTTTCTTCTGTTCTTTAAGCTCATGAATAAGCTAATCAACCTCAAAAGAGAAACAAATTAACCAACTGATAAATCGTCTGCTCAAGATGACACATTAGATTATCACCAACACTAATTAAGAAAAAGTAATAATAGAATAAACAATTTATGATTAACCAATTTAATCGCAATTAAAGATTAACTGTTGTTCACTTTTGGTTGATTAGAAAGAAAATGGCGAAGGTTTGTTTACATTTAAATTCGAATTTCTTTTCGTTACCATGACAACCAAAGATTTTTATTCTTTTCCATTGTGTCTTTGTTGTTATTTAATTTCTTCCTTAAGGGTTAACTTAATTTATTAATTTCTCTTTCAAATTCTCTCTTTTAATTAGGAATTTTATCTGTTATTAATTAATTGTTTTCTTTTATTGTTCTTCAAGTTCTCTGGATCACAAATATATAAGAAGTTCGTTGTAAAGGTAAGAAAATTGTGGAAATGTTATTACATTTATTTCCTCCTTTTGAATTTCTATTAATTTTTACTCTTTTTGTTTTCTCATGTGTGAATTTACTGAAGGGACAATTGATTGGAAATTTACCATTATTATTGGAGATCAGTTATTGCTGATGTTTTAATTTTTGAAAGATCTAAAGAACATCCTTTAAGTAATTATCATTTGTTGTATGTTTGGAAAGCTAATATGGATATTCAGTATGTGGCAGGTTTGAAAGGAATTATTGCTTATAATACAAAATATATATGTAAAATAGAATCCAGTAAATAAGCTAATAATCCAGCTCAAATATCAGAAATTTTAAGTAAAAGTCTTGAAAAACTTTTGGGTTTCATGATAATATTTTAAAAAGATTCATCGTTTGATTCTAAATAAGCGTGAAGTTTCAATTCAAGAAGCAATTTTTAGATTAACAGGAATAAGGTTAAGATTTTGTTCAAGAGATATTTTTTTTATAAGCACTCAACTTCCAGAAAATCGTATCAAACTTTTATTTAAAATATCGAATGACGAAGAAATTTACAGAGCGCGAAGGAAAAGTCAAATAGAAAAATATTCAATGAGAGATTCACGATTGAGTAATTTATGTTTATTTGAATTTTTGAGTCAATACCGTTTTTCATATAATCATTGTGATGAAGAATATGAAAATGAAGTGTTGTATTCTGAAGAATAAGTAATATATGAAAATTCATCTCATAAAATTACTAAGAGAAATAAAGAAGCTGCAATTAAAATAATGTCTTTAAAAAATTGTTCTGAGACTATATATTATTATACAATTATTCTTTTATTTGTTCCTTTTAAAGTCGAAAATGAGCATTATGTACATGTGAATGATATAATTAATTATTATCTTTATTGTCAAAACAATAACTTATTTCGATCAACCAATTCAAATTTTTTGATAAATATTTCTAATATGATAAATCAACAATTATGGAAATTAGAAGTAACTCAATAAAAAATAAATAAAGAAGTTAGTAAAGTTAATTTTAAATCTAAGATTGATAGTGTTTCTAACGAAATAATTGATCAAGTTTTTTTAAATAAGCTTTCTAATTTAAATCTTTCAATTGATCAAATCACTATATTTGATAAAGTTAATATTATGTAAAATTATCAGACGTTAATCCTTTTAAAGTTTTCATAACGGGTGAGGGAGGAACAGGTAAAATTTTTATTTTAAAAAAATTAGTGCAAATTTTTTATTGTATTTGGGATAAAAGTTGTGTTGTAAGTGCTCTTACTGGACTTGCAGCTAAACAAATTGGTGGTTTGACACTTCATTCATTATTTTTTTTACCTATTAATACTTTTGGAAAAAAGTCGAAAACTATTCATTCAGCTAAGCTAGAGCAGTTAGTTGAATTTTACAAAAATATAAAGTTTGTTTTTATCGATGAAATAAGTATGGTTACTTCTGTACATTTTAATTATATCAATGTTAGATTACAAGAATTCAAACGCAATAGTTCTGATTTTGGTGGTATAAATGTTATTGTTTTTGGAGATTTTTTTCGATTAGCGCCAATTATGGGTTCATTTGTTTTTTCACAGAATGAGTCTTTTTTTCTCTGGCGAGAGTTTGAAATGCTAGAATTGATTCAAAACCATCGTCAACCGCATGATATTTATTTAGAAATTTGTAACTCGTTAAGATTAGGAAAAGTTAATTTAAAACAAATTAATTATTTAAAATTAGTAGAAAGATTGATATGCTCAATCTTGATAATAAGCAAAAGGAAATTATTGATAATTATCTTCATATTTATCCAACTTTAGAACAAGTAGATTTTTATAATCAAAAAATGTTAACTAAATTAAAAAATAACGGAATAGAGATTTTTACAATTTGTGCAGTCGATGTTTATAAACATGCAAACAATGATGATGTTGAAGTTTCTCTTGCACATAAAAAGTTAATTAGTTCCAATTATAATAAAACTGGTGGTGTTCCAGGTAAATTAGATATTGGTATTGGAGTTAGAGTAATGCTTGTGAGAAATCTGGATGTCGAAGCAGGATTAGTAAATGGTACACTTGGTACTATAGTTGGTATAAAATGGTCTGTGCCTAATTTTAATTCTAGTTTAATTAGGAATTTTATCTGTTTATTAATTAATTGTTTTCTTTTATTGTTTTTCAAGTTCTCTGGATCACAAATATATAAGAAGTTCGTTGTAAAGGTAAGAAAATTGTGGAAATGTTATTACATTTATTTTCTCCTTTTGAATTTCTATTAATTTTTACTCTTTTTGTTTTCTCATGTGTGAATTTACTGAAGGGACAATTGATTGGAAATTTGAAGTCCATTAAATTGTTGCATGGAATCAAGAAAATCTAATTTGCTGGACTTGATTGTTATTGGGAAAAATCACAGGTAAAGGTCATGTGAAGGAAATGATCGGGATAGAGGATAATTGAGTCGGTTTTAATCAGAACAAAGATTATTCGATAAAATCGTTCTAATTATTGGTATTGATTTGAATGATATTTGTTTTAATTGTTGTTGTCTAATGGAATAATTTAATTATCACAATTTAGAAGGTAAGAGTTTATTGATTGTTATTCTCTGTTTGGTTGATGTTTGCAATGATTATCAATCAGTAGAAAATATTAATCTTATTGGATAATCGTCATGTTTATCTTTTGGGATAAAAATTCACTGAGCCAAAGATAAATGTTATAGTTAATTGTGGCTCATCAATCAACAATCAGTTACAACAATTAACTGTTCCATTTCTAATTGGGGTTACAATACAAGGATAATGTATCAGTTTAACAATCAAAACTGGTTAACCTTTTGTGAAAATTTTTTCTGTGATTCTAATTGTGTATATTGGGATATTTTTGATCTTAAATCTGTAAGTATCATTGATAATTATCATTGACATTTATTGTTGTTTTTATGCAAACAATTGGCTACATGTTTTGACTGTTAATTGTGTAATCAGTCAATTGTAAATTGATTCACTGGTTAACCAATACAATTGTATCATAAAAAAAACGATAAATTGTTGATCGGTTGATTTGTTGACCGATTTTTGTGGCTCAATTCAATTGTGAATCGTTATTGTGATTATATTGACAAACTTTTTCCAGATTCAAGATTAAGATTATGATTAACATGTAAATCAGATTTTAATTAAGTTTATTCAACTTTAACCTTTGTTATTGTTAAAATGAAAAAGTATTAATTACTTGCTGAGTGATGATTGTTAACTAAAACAATTAAGACCGGCCAATAGTTAATTGTAAGTGTAACAACAACAACAACAGAAATTCAAGTCTCACCAGTTAATTGTGAATCCTTTTCATCTTTAATCATCGTTTTTCAATCAACTCACCCAAGTGACATAATTAACATTACCAGTTAACAATTATAATCCAAGTGACCAACACCCAATGGAAAAGGTTAACAATCAGTTAATTTAGTTTCTCACTTTTGATACAAATGATCAAATGTCCCCACCCAAGTATAAGATTTAATTGCTTTCTTAACTTTTAACAATTACAATTACAATCTCTTCCTTAACTCACCTTTACAATATATTAATCAGTTGATTGCAAAAAAACATTTTAACCCAAAATTTTAATGGTTAATATTAATAGATTAATGAATCAATTTCTCGATTGATTAAATCATATGTTCAACAATTTAAACTTCACCTTTTAATAATCCATTGCATAGTAATTAAATTATCAATAATCTGATTCTTTAAAAGTGATTAACTTAAATGTCAATCATTTAGTTTATTCATAAAACGCAAATATTAACCAATAATTTGATTGATTTAGTTAAGCTAATTGTTACAATTTGTAATTCAATCCATCAAAATAATGATTATAAACAAAAGGTTAAGATAATCAATATTCATAAAAACCAAGGTAAATAAATTGTGAGAAACAATATTTAATTGTTAATCCATAATCATGATGATCATGAACATTATCATGAAAATTTCTCAATATTAACTGTTGAAAGTTATTATTAAATCACAATCAAAGTCGCTGATCATAATCATTATCATCATGAAATAATTTCCATCACATTATCAACCTAGTGATCGGGAAGATGATTTAATTGATGATCATGATGAAGATGAAAAAATTGTTAAGATAATTGATAAACTATCATGTTAGTTTCATCCATTTCCAACATGTTCAGTTTTCTCATGATTATCACCAATTCCCTGAGCTGAAAATGTAAAAAGAACCCAAATTGAAAATCAATTATCTCCTTGAGTCCAGAACTTTATCTGAATTTCTATCAACGAACCAATAGATTTGCTATTCCATCAAAATCTTTACTTTGTTATACTCTAATTCCTGATTGAAATGATCAACTTCTTTCATTACTATGATTAAATTAATAGAATCAAGGTTAACTAATTAATAGAAACTACTAATATGTTATAATGAATGAAGACCTTTTCGTCTGAATAAATAAAATTCAATATCACGAATCATGATGATGATCAACATGAAGGTAACTCGCTACTGATTATACAAGTTAAGAATTTTTTTTTCTATTAATATTACTGATCATCATTTTCTTCATCATGATAACATCAATAACTGTTAACAATAACAACTTTTTCTTTGTAGTTTGCAAAGACTGGAAGAGACGATAATTCATTTCTTCATCATGCTCATCATGGTGAAGATAAAGAGCTGATGTTGTTTCAGGTCAAATGGAATCGCCCATCATTTCAATTCTCAAATTGAATAAAATAAACAATCAATCTTATCCTTTAGCCTTTCGTACTCTCCCTCACAATGGTAACAAGCAAATGGATCACAAAGTGGCCTCAGTTTGATGATTGGAAATCGATATTTTTCATCATCTCATTTTAAAAATGTCCATTTCTTGTGTCCACCTGATTGTAAATAATTACACAAACACCAAGAAAACACAATCAATTTCATTGATTAGAAAGAAAAAATCAGACCAACAACCCGGTTATTTATAGTTATCAATACGTTGATGAACATCATGATGAGGAACTGAACTTTTTTCTGCTCTTTCTTCATCTCAAATCTACAATTTAGATTATTTTTTCTTATTCTCATGTCTTGAGCTGATTTAAGGGCGAAAATGAGCTTCGTTATGCTTACTCAAAGATCTCATCTGATTCAGTTAAATGTCGATCGCCGATTCATTCGTGATTTAATTAGAAACATTTTCCTTAATATCTCAATCAAAGTTCAGCTCAATTAGCTGTCACACGAAATTTATCGCAATCTCCATCAGCAATTATCATTAAATGATTAAGTTCAGCAAAAGGTAAATCATTTCAGGAGAATATCAATAATTCTTGCAACATGGAGACTATTTGCCATTCGACTAATTTTCTATCTCTCTCTTTCTCTTTCTCTTTCTATTCTCTATCTTTAGAATCATCATGAAGGACCCAGAATTTTATTCCTAAAAGTTGAGATTCTCCATGAAACATTAGAACCCTGAAGAAATCAATAGTTCCCTGGCTCTCTGTTCAAAAGGTTCCAATGTGCTTTTGCGTTGTATTAACCTTTTCTATTCCCGAGTTTTCATCTTCCTCATCATCATGGAGTTAACAATAGAATCCAGGATTCTCCTGAACTAATATTCTCTTTTCTTTTCTTTTCTCTTCCTCATCTTCTGGTTTTTCGTAGACTTTTCTCTCTACTGGTTCTCTTTCTCCTTTCTTCATGAACAAAAAAGTAGGAAGATGAGGATGATGACGAAAGAGAAAAAAATGTGTTACAAGAATAAGTTACGATGATGAGGATGAAAAAAGATATTGATCTTTGATGGAATCGAGTGTGAAATTCATTGTAACATTTTTTTCTCTCACTAATCTTATTCTTACCATGATAATTTAATCAGTTCACCGATCTTTCATCGTCATCATCATCATTAACATTCAGCCTAATCACCGTTAAATTTTTGTCTTCACTTACGTTCATTAACAAGTTCATTTAACATGATAATCAAAAATTCATAGAGAAAAAAAAATTGAGCAAAAAATGAACAACACTTTCCATTCAGATCCTGATGATTCAACTTATTCACCATGATGATTTTTTTGAATTTACAATATTATCACATTATTTATATTCATATTGGTCACTTGCAAATGCAAGGTCATCATGAACTGAATTATATTATCACCATTTGATTTAAATAATGTAAATATATTGTTATGTAAATTGTTTTTTTTTCTCAGCAATCAGATTGGAGATTGAAATCAAATCAATAACTGAATTTGATTCCTTGACTCTTGGTGTTTACTCAAGGAGATCCAAGGAGAGTTTTTTTGTTTGCTATTTATTTGTTGGTGGAAAATTATCAATAATGATTATCCAGAATTGACTCAATGATTGACAGTTTTTCTTTTAAATTCAATTCTCATGGTGAAATGAGATAAAATTTCACTTGAAATTGAACTTTTACCTTATCATTTGTTGGTGTCCATTTGGTGATTCATTGGCTGTCAATTGTTTCATCATCATGAATATTGTATTAGATTATCATGTTAACTATTATTATGGAACATGAGTTGAAATTTAAGATTCTAAATGATCATGGGGACGATTGAAAAGGCGATCGATTAACTTGATGAATTGATGTATCATGATGATCATCAGGGAGGAGAAAATGCTTCAATTTTGTTGAAGAAGAAGAAAAAAAATCCCTTCCAGAATCATTATCGTTTTCTGAATAATATGGAATCCAGAATTTTGTGATTCTCTATTATGATATATATTATGTTTCCATGAATTCTTGTCAGGGAACTTTTTCTCTTTCTCTCTCTGCTTCCCTGAACTCTGACTCTCAACATCATCATGGTAAAATATACTATCCGGCTCTGACTGAGTTTTCTGGGTCATAAGTAATAATATTATCATGTTAATATCAATTGTTATTTCATTTTCTGTCTGTTTAGATTACTGTCCAGTTTCCAGTTGATGGAATCAGACTACTGACCACTGAATTGAATTTCCTACGATTTCTCATTCTTGAAACCATGATGATGATAAATTCCAACCATTGGTAAAACCAGATACTCGGATTAACACAACAATTAAAATTGATTGTAATTCAATTGTGAATTTCTCAATCACAATGTTCCAAATGTAACTAATAACATTGAGTGAGAAAATATCTCTCTTCAATTTATTCCTGAATCCAGGGAATTGGATCACATTCTGATCATGATGATATTCAAATATTCAGGTTTCCATCTTTGATTCATTAGATTCATCATAGTGATCATCAGGAACTCTCCTCCATCATCATGATTCAGATTCAATTTTCTCCATCTCTTTTGTCATTATCAACATCGTCTTAATATCATTAACAAAGTAATGACTTCGTATCACTAATGATTGGACAATTTTCCCCTGAAATGTAAATATTACATGGAAATGGTTTATTATTGTCACCATAGAAAGGAAACCAAGATGAAATAAAGAGATAAAACTTTCTCGAGAATTATTCATTTTGTCAGAACTTTTTTCCCCTTCCCTGGTTTTAACCATCATCACCATGTATCAAATACATTTGTTATCCCCCAATTTATTTGACTCTATTTACTATATGAATACATGATGTTCATGTAATGGTTCAGTAAAGTTCAGAATCTGAGTAATATTTACTTATTTACCCTGTTAATATAATATGCAAATGCATTAAATTAATGATAATATTGAATGATAATCATGATGATGATGATGATAAATGAATTCAAGGTTAACATTGGGTAACAATTTTGTTGTTACAATAATTTCACCATGATGATTATCAATGAATTCAACTGAATTTATTATCGTATTGGATATGATTGTTTCCTCCTTTATTGTTGTTCCAATTTCATTACAATTCAATTGTTCAGATCTTTTTCAACGGAAACTTTCATGAAATGATAATTCAAACTCTCTCTCTTTTTAAATTTGAATTATTATCATTTTCTGTCTCATGAAATTATCTTCTGAGTAACTTCATGGATTATTGTTTTTGTTCATATTCCAAGGAAACTTTTTTTTTCTTCATTTGAATTGAACAAAAAAAAATGATCACAAAATTTATATATTCATGTGTTCAGTCAGAATCTCTAGTCTCGGAATTTATTATCATCATGATGGATTTTTATTACTTTGCTTCGTCTGAGATAAAGTTATGAGCATTCTGATGATGACATTTTCATTAGATGTTAGCATTTTGGTTGGTGTCGAAGAGGAAAATGCTAATAAATGATATTATCTTTCTATTAGTTGAGTTATCACCATGTTGATATGTAATGATCATGATGATTTCTTCATTTCTTTAGCTTTACAATTCTGATTCATTGGATTAATGTTCAGGCTTGAATATTTGTGTATCAACATTAGTGTTATTCACCATGATGGTAAATGAGAAATTATCATGAATCGTTGAACCTAATGGATGATTATGATTAGAGGAACAAATTTCGTTCATGATGATGCATTAAGATTCATTCTCATCTCATGAAAATATGAGTAAATACATGGGAACATATGGGATGAAGATGGAGATGAAGATGGAGATGAAGATGGAGATGAAGATTATAATCTAAGTGAGAATTTCATCTTCTTTTTTCCTTCTCTCTCATTTGTTTTTGTTTTCTTTTTTTATTCCATCCTAGCATGAGATGATGAGGATATTCTGAAGAAGAAGATGAAGATGATAAGGTAAAAAGCTTTTTCCATTCTTGATCGAACAATTTTTTTATTCTTCTTCTTCTTTTCATCTTGTTATATTGAAAGTCCTCTAGAATTTTATTCATCTTTTCCATCACTTTTATCTTCATCTTCATCTTTTTTTCACCTTTGTTGTCGTGGATCTTTTATCTTTCTTGGTGTAACCTTTCATGATGGAATCTGAATTAGAGGAAGACAATTTTTGAGCTTCTTTATTTTTATCCTCCTTTATCGTCATCATCATCTTCACCCATAGTTTCAAGTACCTCAACATTGTACTCTATTTATATTTATACATGATGATTTTGTAATATCACAATGAATTACAAAGTTAAGGTAACATGAGGAATCACTGAATGAAATGAAATACATTTAACTCAGTCAAATGTAATTACAGTAACAGTTAATCATGTGAGAAAAATAAACTCTAATCTCATTTAATTATAACCATTTGATTGGTGATTTATTTCTTACACTTAACGTTTTGTTGCAAGCTCATGATTATCATAATCTTTATCATGCTAATCCAGAATCAGAATCTCAAGACTCGATTCACTTTCATGAGTTTCAAGAGAGATATGGTAACGAACCATTGACTTTACGAAAAGACTTTTTCTCTTGCCTTTTCTGTTTACAAAGTATTTCTTTCAGCATCCAGAGAGAGAGAGAGAGAGATATTTCATCTTCATGTTCATCTGAAATTCAGAATCAATCAGAATCTGAACCATTTCCCATGTAAAACTATTGATCGTTTTTTTTTTACTTCTACTCATCGTCATGTTCATGATACTTGCTCATGTTATTTTATTTTACTCAGTAAAGAAAAACTTTGGTAACAATTCTGGTTTCAGGTTCAGATTACATGGTTATCATCATCATCATGATAATAATGATGAAAATTCAGTCTTTCATGTGATATATGTTTCATTTTTTTCATCATCATCATTAATATAAATGAATGTAAGTGAACATTTTTCTAGTTCATTGATTGATGGTGAAAAGTTTTCTCAATGAAAAATAATTAATTATCTTGAACTGATTTTACTCACATTGATTAATAATCTTAATTTTAATTGTTGTTCTTAACTTTTTTTTCTGTCATTTTCTTATCCTTTTAGATTATCAATCAAAAAGCTTTAATTGTAACAATCTTCTTACCGATTACAGCAAATGAATTTAGTCCAATCCCAGATTCCCCAATGATCCATAGTTTTAATTGTTGTTGATCTTTGTTGATGTTGATTAAATGAATCCAGGCTTGATGATGGTGATGGTGATGAAGTTTTAATTGTTATCAAGGTGAAAATTTAATTAGTGTTGATCGGGAAGTTAATAAGTTGCAAATCAATAGTGTTGAAGGTGAATTTTTTTTTAAATTGAGTAACAATGACAACAATTAAGTAAATAAACAAATCAATTGAGATGTTGAATGATTAATTAGCTGATGTAATCATCATGATGAAGATGCTGATGATTAGAGGATTAATGTTGACAATGTTGTTTATTGGTGAGTAAAAAAATCACAACAAGATTAAGTAAACAATGGAAACAATTTCAATTTAAATGATCAGTTAATTGCAAATAGTTAATTTGTGATTGGCACTTTTTGTTTTTCTTCAATAAAAGGATTAACAATAATTTAATTGATTGTGAAATAGTAACAATTTAAAATGATTATAACCATTGGATTGTTATGGTGACGATATTGATAAACAATCACATGAATACTTTTACATTGACAGATAATGTTTTTGATTGTTGACAATTAAAGGTGATCGCTGTGCTGATGATCATATTTCAATCCAAAATTAAAGTGTATTGATGATACAATATTGAACATGATTATCGGTGAATATCAATTGTAATCATGATATTATCTCATGAGATAATATCTGAATCTCATAATAAACATTGAATAATATTCCAATTGTTCAGTTGATGAGTTACTCGGATTGAAAAAGAAAAAGAAAAAATTCTACCAGACTCTCTCTCTCTCTCTCTCTCTCTGTAAACATGCGAAGTAAAAATTCATTGAGCCTGTCTTCTCAGTCTCTATCATCCATCGATCCATTTCCTGTGACTTTTCATCATCATCTTCATTTATCTTCACTTTTTATTTCTCTTTCACAAACAAACTTTGACTTTCTCTCTCTCTCTCTTTTCTGTCTACTGTTTCTATTTCAGAATATACTCTTTCTATTTTAAGATCTTCATCCAAGATAACACCTTCATCTTTCATTTGACCTCTCATCTTCTTCATCTTCATCTTCATCCTAATCATTATCTTCATCATGAATCTTTGTTTAGGTTTTGCTTACATTTAAGATGCGACACTTTATTCAATCGTTATTATTATTGTTTCTTATTTATATTTGTTTCCAACTTTTGGCTCAATTTTGCAATACTATTCATCTTCGAGTAGAAAGTTAATTGCAATTTCGTTTTATTATCATCTAAATGCCTCGAGCAATTTGTTTCAGACTCTTTTTTGCCATCGATTCACAATAATTAGCCATTGTAACGATTTCCTTTTCATGGGATAAACTTTTTACTTCTTCTCAACTGACTCAAACTCTCACTTTCCAAGCTTATTTTCAATCTCCATACCTTCCGGTTATAATTAACATACGTTTATTGGAACATTCAATTAAATAATAATCTCGATAACAAATGAAAGCCAATTAACTTTATTGACGAAAATCAAAACAATATAAATTAAGTTAAGTTCATCAAAAGTTCACCATTAGTTGGTGAGCTTCCAACTATTGCAACTTTGAACCTCACCAAGTGAGATTTTCATTTTTCAGCTAATCCAAAGAATTATAATTAGCAATTAATTAGATTAGGAGAAAAAAAATGTTCGATAATCAAAGGAATTTTCAATTCCAATTGAAAAGTTTGAAATTTTCTTCGGGTTAAAGTTTCAATTCTAAGATAATAGATGGCGACACTTATTCTTTCGTTTCCATGGAAACCGTTCGGTCAAAAAGTATAAAAGGAAAGAGCGAAATTTTTTCTGACTCATACTATGCATTTGATCTTATCTGATTGGGTTAATTGTCTTTACTTTTTGTCAATTTCTTTTTTTGATATTCTCTCTTTGTCTTTTTGATTAAGCTGAGAACTTCTTATTAAGAATTGACAATTTGTAATCTTTTAACCTGAGATGAAGACAAAGGAGTGCATTGGAGAGGATAAATGATATTCCTCGATGACCAAATATCCTTAAAGAGATCATATTAGGATTTACTAATGTAAACCTAATGCCGGAAATGATGTTCACTGAACAGATATCTGATTAACTGGTAAAATTTTTTCTATCAGGTGAATTACTCATGGTTCTTGGATTGATAGCTTGGAAATTCAACCAACGTGTCTTCAGCTTCTTAAAAAAAAATACTGTGATAATAATCTATGGATTAACTAAGTTCTTTTCTCTTGGTTAATCTTGGGTTATTTTACTTTTTCTCTTCTGCATCACATTATTTTTTTTTTCGAAGAGAATTCACGGAAAAAGGATGAATTTCCTTTTTATCTATCCATTTACCTTGAATAAATTCACCTGAGATGATGAATGAAGCGATACTGATCCGGCAAAAATGTTCTCCAAAAAGAACAAAAAAAAACAAAATGGTGTCAACAACAAATTCTCTTTATAGAGAATGAGAAAAAGAAAAGAGAAAAGAGAAAAACAAAAAAAGAAAAACAAACCACAAAGGTCAGTATACAAACCAAAGAATTTCAAAAGAAATTCTAAATCACATTATGTTCTTGAAATGGTCAATAATCGTAATCCAAGTGATTCTCTCATGAAGATAATCCCATCAGATTGGAATTCTAGATAATCCAAGGAAAGAAAATCTTGAGAGGATTGATTGACTTTTGTTCTCTTTGTAGAATAGAAAGAAAAATCAACAAAGAATCTATTACATTAGTTACATTTGATTCTCTTTGTTATACATTCGAGATTTGAATCAACTTGAAAAGATTAGGAAAATTGCGACAATTTAAGTTAATTAATCTTCTTCTTGTTGATTGTAATCATGTTACTCTAAGTTAAATCAACTCTCTCATTCTACTCACACAGACTCAGCTGTTTGTTTTTCTCTCTTTCATTTTCTATTCATTTATCGTCATCATTTGGTTACTTTTATTCTCCATTTGTTTACTCAAAATTGTTTAATTATTTTTCTTTTAATTGTAATTTTTTTCTTCTCTTAATTGTCTGTGATTTAGATTCCATCATTTGGATGGTGATGATTAACATCATTTTCCAATTACATTAAAATCAAATCAACTTGTGGCTTGGTAACATTTGTGATCTCCATTGGCTTTCACTCATTTGTTTACATTTCATTTTCTGTGTTAATTATCACCATGATTTGGAATTTAATTGTTAATTATCTAAATCAAACCTCTGGTTATCACATCTTTGTGGAATCTATTCTATTTCTTACTGTAATCTATTTATTGTTATTTCGTAATAAGAGATCAACAAATAGTAGAAGAGAAAAACTAACCGACAAGGTAAATTATTCTTCGTTTCTTCTTTTTTTTTGCTTTTACTTAAATTCTATTCTCCGTGATTTTAATTGTTCTTTTCTCTTTTCTCTTAATATATGTTACCTGTTCCTTTCTCGTGGTCATGGATTTTGATTTTATCAGGAAAAGCAACAACTGATTGATGAATGGATACCAGAACCATTGGCACCTGATATACACTCTGACCATTATGCCTTAAAACCTAAAATCATATCAAGGTTAGTTGATTCAATTTACTTTAACCGAAACAATTTAACCCAATCAATAATAGTCTTTATGTTTATATCTATTCTTTAATCGTAACTGACTTAAAACTGACTTTTCTCTCTCTCTCCATAGTAAATATGGTAAATACGTTTCCGTTGATGGCAAAAAGTGTCTTAATTTAGCAACACACAATTATCTTGGTCTCAATGATGAACAATCATTGGAAGATGCTGCTCTTGCTGGACTCAAGCAATATGGTGTTGGTTCATGTGGCCCAAGGGGGTTTTATGGAACCATTGGTTGGTTTTCAATTCTTTTCTGTTTTTTCGTTTTCTCCATGTATTCATCAGAATTATTGTTTAAACTTGTTTTTCTATTCTTTAAGATATTCATCTTGAATTGGAGAAACGTTTAGCTGCCTTTTTGAACGTTGAAGAGGTTATCTTATATTCCTATGGTTTATCAGCTGTTTCAAGTGCCATTCCTGCTTATGCTAAAAAAGGTGATGTGATATTTTGTGATGAAGGTGTTCACTTTGCCATTCAGAAAGGATTAGTTGCATCGAGAAGTTCAATCAAATACTTTAAACACAATGACGTTAATGATTTACACCGACTATTGAAAGAACAAGAGAAACAAGATATTAAGGTGATTCATCGTAATTGTTACATTTTTTTTCAAATGTCCTTGCTATAGTTGATTTCAATTGTTCGAAAGAGGCTAATCAAGTTTTATCTTCTATTAGAATCCAAAGGTTGCCAAAGTTACTCGACGATTTCTTGTCGTTGAAGCTCTCTATTTAAACCATGGTGATCTATGTCCACTTCGAGAAATGCTGGAACTTAAGAAACAATATAAGGTGCGAATCTTTGTTGATGAAACGGTTTCCTTTGGTGTTCTCGGTGAAAATGGACGAGGGATAACTGAACATCTTAATATACCAATTGATGATATCGATCATATCTCAGCAACCTTGGAACATGCAATCAGTGGATATGGAGGTTTTTGTGCTGGGACAACATTCATCGTTGATCATCAGCGGCTTTCTGGCCTTGGCTATTGTTTTTCCGCTTCTTTACCTCCCCTTCAAACGGCGGTCGCAATTGCAGCTCTCGATATATTAGAATCTAAGCCAAACATAACTCACAAATTGCGATCAAACTGTGAATATATTCACAAGAAATTGAACAGGTTAGATTAAAATCTTGAAACTACTCTCTCTCTCTCTCTCTCTCGCACTTAAGTGATTATCAAATTAATCTACAATTATTTTCTTCTGATTAGTTTGATTTCATGTAAAGTTTTTGGAGAAACTTTCAGTCCAGTGAAACATTTACGATTTGCAGAACCATTGGAATCGCATGATATTGAAACCAAACAGCTTGAAAAGATTTGTGATCATGTAAGTTTATCTTCAACAATCAATTTAATCAACTTGAACCAACACTTAAAAGAGGCACAATCTTACCTCACCTTTGATCATCATTAGAAAGTTTTTCATGGTGATTAGTTGCCATCTAATTCAGAAAGAGACTTTTTTTTAAAATATCATTGATTATAATTTTCTCCTTTTTTTTATATTACTATTTAATTAATCAATTATTCCAGGCTTACCAAAAAGGTTACGCTTTAACTGTTGCCCGTTACCTTGATGAAGAGATACTGGCTAATCGTCCCAGCATCCGATTACTTATCAATGCATCACTTAATGAAACTGAATTAACCGAAATCTCTCATGTGATCGGAGAAGCTTTTGATCAAATCTTCACCTCTAATTTAAAATAATCAAGTTTTCAAGTTGATACTTTTTCTTTGTTTCTATTTTCCACTCACAAAAGCGGCAAAATCCATCAAAGTCCAAGATAATTTTTCTTGGCTTCTTTTTAGGTCACAAATACAATATTATTTTATCCATAATATAAATAATACAAAAAAAAAATAAAGCAGGAGAAATGAGAGAAAGATGGAAAATAATAATAAGGTTTACCAATTACCAAATTATCATCACAACTTAATAGCATAATTATTTAAATATAATTGTGCATATTTTTTTTTCCAACCAGGATCATGATCATTAAGAAATTCTGTCAGCAGATTCCAACAAGTAAACAGCATTACCTCGAACTACAATCATTCCCAATGGAATTCTGGATTCTTTGGTTTCCTCTGTTGCCTCATCCAGAACCAGATTCATGAAAGGATCAAAACCACGAAGAATACCCGAAACCCTACGAGCTCCATTCAGGGTAAGAGTTAACTGTTTATCCAAATACTTTTTCAATTCCGGAGGATGAGCTCGACTCATGGTGATGGATTAACTAATAAATAGCTGCAAACGAAAGGTAAATGAAAAACAAAAGCGAAACCGATAAACAAAAAAGATCAAGAAAAACAAAGAAAAAATGAAGAAAAAAAAGACAAATCATTTACCTTAGTGTTTCGATTTTCTTCTAAACAAACAAGACGATCAAGTTAAAGTTGGTGAATTGTCAACACTCTAACAGGACACAATTAACTTAATGATTCCAGAAACGGTTAATCAAATTGATGAAAAAAAAATTAATTAACTATCAACAGTAACAATCAACTCTCTTTGTCAACAAACATGTTTCATAAACCACAACCGCCATCCTCCAGACGGAGGCACATGTCATGTGAAGCGCTTCGTTCAAAATAAATTATAAACTGTAAACAATTTAAATTGTCTATTAATTAACTTTTCCCTTTAATTGTAACTCTAATCAAAATCCATTCTGATAGTAATCCTTTTATTTAAAGGGATAAATTGACACGAAAACTTTAGGATAAGGATTAAGGATAATGAAATTATTGACCGAATCCAATGAAAAAAGGGAAACTGAAAAATCCTCAATATAAGAAAATCGTAATTGTGTTGATTCAATTAAATTTGATTGTTAATTTTTTGTTGCGATCTTTTTTTTTCTCAGTAAAAATGATCGATTTAGATAATCAACTGAAATTATTGTGCTCAAATATTGATGATCTTAAAATACTTCGCGATCAAGTGACTAATTTATTTGGTAAACAATCAACGGCAAGTAGTTTGTCAACAATTAACTCTAACACTGAGACTACAGGGGATAAACTGAATCAATTGATTAATTCTGATGGTAATCAAGGTATTGATTCATTGATTGGTCAAATGAAGGAAGCAATTTTAAATGGTCGAAGTTATTTTCAAACATTATACAATCAACCTGAACAATCAATTGAAATTAAGACTCTCCTTCAATCTCATAGTAAAGTTTTAAATGATTTAGAGTCATTTGTAAATTCAATTGAATCAAACAATTTAGTTAACACGAGTCAACAATCAATTGATTATCCTATTCGTCCATTATCACCAGAGATTATAATTGAATATGGAAATGATGATAAATCATCAACAACAATATCATTACAATCAAGATCATCATCATTAACTTCAATCATTTATCTTGATCAATCAAATTCATCTTTATCAACCCAATCATCACCACAATTAACCAACAATTTGGAAACAATTAAAACCAATAATAATCAGTTTAATTGTCATTCACCATCAACTTCAATTGGTTCATCAATCTATTATGATTACAAATATAATAATCGTCCATCAACAGCAATTAACTTTACAAATAACAGTTTAATTACTTGGCAACAATTAACTCAATTATTTGACAATTTAATGTCCAACAAACTTATCCAAATATTAATAGGTAGCTTATTCATTTTATTGTTAATTTTAATTAACAGTTAAATCACTTTAATTAGTATGTTGAATAAGAGGGAGAGAGAGAGAGAGAGAGTTGATTAACAATTAATAAAACTTTAATCATCATCAGGTAACCTTTCAATGTTTACTAATTGTAACAATTAAAAAGTGGAAATAAATTTTTTCATTAACAATCATCATGTAAATATAATGCTAATTGTGAAAATTTGTGAAACACTCCCAAGACCATTTAATCATCAACCCAAACAATTAAAACTCTAATCACTTGGTAAATCTGAGATGATTTAATTCTAGTTGATTGTCTTTCTCATAATCAGTAACAATTAACATATAAACAATTAACAGTTCATATCACGTATTTGTCATCATTAATTGTCATTCTCATCAGGATAATGATTAAAACAGAGGTAGAAACAAATTTAGTTAAATTAGTTTACGTTAAAACAAAAACAAAATAATACTATGAGTTAATTATCATCATCATCATCAAACTATTAATTATAATCACTGTGATTAAATCAATTTTGATTTGATTGTAATATTATATTACATTATTATCAACAACAATCAAGCAAAAGATTTGACCATTGGCCAGTTAACTAGGATTTGGAAAGCTCAGCAATTAGATTTGATTGTTGTAGTATTTTAATGTTAATCACCGTGTTCAGAATAATTAATTAACAATGAAAAAGCAAAATTATCTCCTTGTTTATTATTAATAATTAATAAATTGTGTCTTGATCACTTTGGTAACCAACTGATTAACCAAACTATTAAATATTTTCATGTCAATTTATGTTAACTTGTTTTTCATTTAAGATTTAAAAAATTAATCAATTTTTCAATTGATTTAAATTGTTGATGTTAATGATTAAAAACTATATCTTTAATTAAAAATTGATTAATCAATCATAAATTTATGATTCTAATTTTTTTCACTCTCTCTCTCTCTCCTTTAAATCATTAAATCATTAATTGTTAACGTGAGTAAATGTTATTAGTTAATGATAGTTAAGAAAGTGAACACATTGTAATTAAATATAACAATTAAGAGAGAGAAAAATAAAAAACAATCACCTTTGAACAATTAAGAGTAACAATTACGATGAAATATCAATTGTATTGACAATTTAAAACAATTAATTTCACTTTTCCAAAGTTAATCATTAATTGAAATCTTTTAATTGTTTACCATGAAACTTTTTTTTTTGTTACACAACTACTAATCATTATGATTAATTGTCATCATTAATATCAATACAATATCAAGTAGAAACTATTAACTATAACAATTAATAATTACATTATCAAATATCATTAGCTAATCATAATTATATTGCTTTTTTGTTAATTGTCAACGAGAATCAATAAATTATTTAATCAAAACAAAAATCTTCTCATTCTGTTGATTAACAGATTTTCATGTTAATCCTTTTCAAATTGGATTAACTTAATTCACTTTTTGGATTAGTCTTTTTCGCAACAATCTATTAATCTATGTTATCCCTTGATTACTTGTTAGTTAATCATGATACTTAATCTTATCAATTAACTATGAATCAAATTTAATCCGGTTAATCCTTGGTATCCAATATGTTTTCATTGTTGTTAATAAGCTTAGATAATAATAATTATTGTAAGGAAAATGTCAAAGAGAGAGAGATTAAGTTAATAATTTTATTACTTTGTTTTCAACAACAGGTAAAAGTCACCTTGACTTTATCTCTCTCTCTCTCCCTTGTATAAAACACTGTAATTTAGACTAACAAAGAAAAAGGAGAGAAGAATTAGGTTCTTCAATCAGTGAAGATTGAACCAAATTCTAATCAAATTAATCCAGTGAAATAATTGAATAAATAGTTAAGAATAACAAAACCAGTGAAATAAAAATTAAAGTCATCAAATTGATATTGTATTAACTAATACAAACAGAGGTGAAAAATTGTGTTATTGTTAACCACTCGGTTCCAACCCTAAAGGCTCCAACATTTTGGTGGCCCGTGTGAGGGGCTCGAACCCACGACCCTGAGGTTAAGAGCCTCATGCTCTACCGACTGAGCTAACCTTCGTCAAAACGTCGGAAAGTGAGAGAGAACCCAATTTTCTGGAAAAATGTCGAAACTTGACTGCAAATTGTTGGAAAAGTTGAAACCTATTAAACCAAAGGAGAAAACCTACGTTGGCTATTGACACCGAAGGTATGACCGTCGACGAAAATTCTTTGTCACCCTCGCTGGTTGGTTCAGCATGGACTTGGTGCCCAAGTAATTTATTGTGAATACATAAAACAATGAACGCTCACTTGACCACCCCATATCTAGCGTTCAAATGCAACAAGTCCAAGATGGAAAGACGTTAGAAGAGGTAAAGTCAAACATCTTACTCGCCTGTGGTAAAAGAGTTTTGATATTTGATTCCGACGATAAAGAACAAAAGATAAATATAAATGATATAGATTCAAGGAATGGAAAATTGAAGTGGTCAATGTCCAGAAACCTATGGTAAAATTCATTAGAAAACTAGTTAACTTTTCTTCCTCATTCCAAGGTTAAAAAGGACTGTATAATCCTCTCAACATTGATAATCCAGGACTGAATTCATGTTTCACGATCAAATTATATCGAAAGCACTTAGAACTAACTAAAGAAGGAAAGCGAATACATCAGTTGATGAAATAAGAATGATGTTAAAATCTGTTAAATCATTCTAATTATAACTCTTTGTTATCTCACTGATCGCAGGCACTGCTCAAAAATGGTCATTCGGAAGTGTAAGAAAATGCAAAGAGAGAGAGATTGTTAATCATTTTATTACTTTGTTTTCAACAACAGTAAAAGTCACCTTGACTTTATCTCTCTTGTATAAAACACTGTAATTTAGACTAACAAATAGAAGGAGAGAAGAATTAGTTCTTCAACAGTGAAGATTGAACCAAATTTAACAAATTAATCCAGTAACAAATAGTTAAGAATAACAAAACCAGTGAAACAAAAATTAAAGTCATCAAATTGATATTGTATTAACTAATACAAACAGAGGTGAAAAATTGTGTTATTGTTAACCACTGTTCCAACCTAAAGCTCCAATATTTATATTTATTTTTTAGTTTTATCACGGAATAACAAACTCTCTTTACCACACGAGTAAGATGTTTGACTTTACCTCTAACGTCTTCCATCTTGGACTTGTTGTATTTGAACGCTAGATATGGGGGTGGTCAAGTGAGCGACGTTCATTGTTTTTATGTATTCAAAATTACTTGGGCACCAAGTCCATTGCTGCTGAACCAACCAGCGAGGGTGATAAGAGTGCTTTTCCGTCGACGGTCATACCTTCGGTGTCAATAGCCAACGTAGGTTTTTCTCCTTTGGGTTTCCCAATAGGTTTCAACTTTTCCAACAATTTGCAGTCCAAGTTTCCGACATTTTCCAGAAAATTGGGTTCTCTCACTTTCCACGTTTGACGAAGGTTAGCTCAGTCGGCAGATGAGGCTCTTAACCTCAGGGTCGGGTCGAGCCCTCACACGGGCCACCAAAATGTTGAGCCCACCCTCTCATCTCAACAAACAGATGATGATACTAATCATTCTCTTCTGATAGTTTGCTCTGGACTGAATATGGTGCTGACGTGATCTGGAGAGCAACGAAGCATAAGATAATAAATGGACGTAAAATGTAAATTACATGATAATCATACAGAATCCATGCTATAAATTAAATTACCCATACATGGAAGCTTGAGTATTGACGTGATAAGTGTGAGACGATAATCAGGGTCAACAAATTTGCTGTAAAAGACTCATAAAGGAAGCACCGAGGTGTGGAGAGGAAATAAATGGGTTTGTGGTTAAAACCATATAATAGAGAAGATATATTGAGCTAGCACGACAACATCAGAATCTTATGTTGAAAATCAACTTACACTCTTTTCACTTTTGATCAAATATACACAGAAAAGAAGAAAGAGTAATATTTTCAACTCTTCTAATAGGATCATTAGCTGTAATTGTTCGGTACAATTAAGAATTGATCTTCCAATCACCAAATTATGACTTGTTAGCAACAGCCTCAAATCTAACCTACGAGGTACTAAATAACCATCAAAATAACCTCGCACATTGCAGATCAGATCCTTTCAACGAACACTGACTAGATGAGTTAGAGCAAATGATCCCAATCACCTCTCCAATCAGCCACTGTTGTTTATCAAACACAACGAATCAACGAAATCATGAGAGAAACCAGTCGCAATGGAAAATGGGAAAGATACTGAAAGCTTATTGAACTTTTCAAAGTAGAGTTACCATGGAAAAGTGCCCTTGCTCCATGGAAAATTGCAGTAACTTTCAAAACGATCAACAAAACAATCCTCGTCGAGTTATTATTCAGAGTCGATAATTACGCTGATGATCTCATCATACACAAAGTTGATCCATTCACCTTAATTCAATAAACAACACTGAAATTGTATCAAGAATTATGTTGGCCGAAGTTTATCGTGGTAAACACAACCTCGAAGCCACCTGAAATGTGTGAAGTAACCGAAGATGATTGCATCGAAAACTAAATTTGATACGGGAAAGTTCTGTCACAAAGTGCCTGAGGCCGGATTATGGAAATTACTGATGTGTTCATTGATCATATTAACTTTCAAATTAAAATAATTGAAAAGATGAAGATATTTTCGTTAACAGGATAAGTAACAATCATCTCACATTCTCAATTTTGTCTTGTTTATGGTAATAGTACTGAATATCTAATGTCATTTCAGATCGGTCAAACCTCGTATACATCTAACGACCCAATATCACACATGAGAAAGACGTGACTTCCTGGTCAACAACAATCAACTGGCAATTATCACCCCATGATTATGAGAGAATAAAATTAGAACCAGAAAAGTTAGAATTGCTCAAAAATGGTCATTAAGCTCAACGTCAAACCAATGAATCTTGGTTCACGTACCAAAACGACGCTTTTAACCTCTTTCTCGGACTCATCTCCTTTCTATTCTCGTCATGTTAATCCTCCAAATCGTCAAAATAATCTATCAACCTAGACCAACAGTTTACTAATGAACACTGAGCCTGTCATCATAAACAAAACTAAGAAAAGAATAAGGATAAACTTTCCCAATTAAGCCTGACTACATCCCAATTAACCAATTATTCTAATTTTAAGTTTTATTTTATTTCTTTTATTAGATGCCAGATAATTCTTTCCTCTTTATCACCAATATCTTAATCTTGACTGATACTTACGAGGAGTATTTAACCAGTCTGGTGTTCCCATTTCCACTTCAATTAGGAATAATAAAACTTCACTGTACAATGTACCATTAGACAGAAAAATGGTTAAGGTAACGATTTCCGCTGGAAATAAAAAAGATTTAGATGATGGCTATCAAGAAACCAAGAAACTCCTTAAATTTTGCCCGATAGTCTCCAAATTAAGAGAAAAACATTGTGCAATCTGCTTCAGATATGCACACGAAACCCGCGATTGCACCTTCTGCGCTGCTTGTCTTGAGGATGGTCACAAAATAGCTTGTTGCCCTTGGTTAAGAAAAGACGAAGAAATCCCAAGAGTTAACCTCATCTCTACCGATGATCAACCTTCTTCAAAACGTCGGAAAGTGAGAGAGAACCCAATTTTCTGGAAAAATGTCGGAAACTTGGACTGCAAATTGTTGGAAAAGTTGAAACCTATTGGGAAACCCAAAGGAGAAAAACCTACGTTGGCTATTGACACCGAAGGTATGACCGTCGACGGAAAAGCACTCTTTGTCACCCTCGCTGGTTGGTTCAGCAGCAATGGACTTGGTGCCCAAGTAATTTATTGTGAATACATAAAAACAATGAACGTCGCTCACTTGACCACCCCCATATCTAGCGTTCAAATGCAACAAGTCCAAGATGGAAAGACGTTAGAAGAGGTAAAGTCAAACATCTTACTCGCCTGTGGTGGTAAAAGAGTTTTGATATTTGATTCCGACGATAAAGAACTAAAAAAGATAAATATAAATGATGGTGATCTTAAGGAATGGAAAATTGAAGTGGTCAATGTCCAGAAACTCTATGGTAAAATTTCATTAGAAAAACTAGTTAACTTCTTCTTTCCTCATTCCAAGGGGTTAAAAAGGGACTCGTATAATCCTCTCAACGGCCATAATCCAGGACTGGACTCATGTTTCACGATCAAATTATATCGAAAGCACTTAGAACTAACCAAAGAAGGAAAGCGAATACCATCAGCTGATGAAATAAGAATGATGTTAAAATCTAATGTAAATCATTCTAATTATAATCCTCTTTGTTATCTCTACTGATCGCAGGCACTGCTCAAAAATGGTCATTCGGAAGTGTAAGGAAAATGTCAAAGAGAGAGAGATTAAGTTAATCATTTTATTACTTTGTTTTCAACAACAGGTAAAAGTCACCTTGACTTTATCTCTCTCTCTCTCTTGTATAAAACACTGTAATTTAGACTAACAAAGAAAAAGGAGAGAAGAATTAGGTTCTTCAATCAGTGAAGATTGAACCAAATTCTAATCAAATTAATCCAGTGAAATAATTGAATAAATAGTTAAGAATAACAAAACCAGTGAAATAAAAATTAAAGTCATCAAATTGATATTGTATTAACTAATACAAACAGAGGTGAAAAATTGTGTTATTGTTAACCACTCGGTTCCAACCCTAAAGGCTCCAACAATTATCCTTTGGGATTTTAATGTTAAAATCTGAAAAAATAAATTTCAAATTAAATCCAATCATTAGATTAACTAATTTCATTTGATTATCTTGATTGTAACAATTTAAATAAATTGTTTCCTTTACCTGTTCATTGAAAGCAACTATTGTTGTCTTCAATCATATTGATTGATCATAATGATTGTTTCCTAATTGTCATTAAACATGAAACTTATATCATGAGCTTTTTATTTTGATTTATCATGAAAATTGTGAATCAATCTCCACCCACTCTCACAATTTGATTATTGAATACAATTAATTGATTAACCAGAGATTCAATTTCAGAATCGGAATCATTTTCACATGAAAATATAGAT